GCACATATCATCACTACAGAATAACAGATCAAGTGAACAACGCACATATCATCACTAGATATCTTGTGAACCACCATATACCATTACTACAGATCCAGTGAACAATGCACATATCATCACTACAGAATAACAGATCAAGTAAACAATGCACATATCATCACTAGATATCTTGTGAACCACCCATATACCATTACTACAGATCCAGTGAACAATGCACATATCATCACTACAGAATAACAGATCAAGTAAACAATGCACATATCATCACTAGATATCTTGTGAACCACCCATATACCATTACTACAGATCCAGTGAACAATGCACATATCATCACTACAGAATAACAGATCAAGTAAACAATGCACATATCATCACTAGATATCTTGTGAACCACCCATATACCATTACTACAGATCCAGTGAACAATGCACATATCATCACTACAGAATAACAGATCAAGTGAACAACGCACATATCATCACTAGATATCTTGTGAACCACCCACATACCATTACTACTGATCCAGTGAACAATGCACATATCATCACTACAGAATAACAGATCAAGTGAACAACGCACACATCATCACTAGATATCTTGTGAACCACCCACATACCATTACTACAGATCCAGTGAACAATGCACATATCATCACTACAGAATAACAGATCAAGTGAACAACGCACACATCATCACTAGATATCTTGTGAACCACCCACATACCATTACTACAGATCCAGTGAACAATGCACATATCATCACTACAGAATAACAGATCAAGTGAACAACGCACATATCATCACTAGATATCTTGTGAACCACCCATATACCATTACTACAGATCCAGTGAACAATGCACATATCATCACTACAGAATAACAGATCAAGTAAACAACGCACATATCATCACTAGATATCTTGTGAACCACCCATATACCATTACTACAGATCCAGTGAACAATGCACATATCATCACTACAGAATAACTAGGGCTGGGTATTGGCCAGAGATTTCGTATTGCGATATATTGCGATATTTTTAACTGTATTGCGATATGTATTGCAATATTTTCAATTTAATGAAAATGGCATTTTCTTACTACATTTACTTTAATTTACATGCAGAATTTACATAACTATGATAAGTAACTAACACGAAGAAAAAAAATCTTGTTGATTTCATTTAAGTTATGCTCTTAAATGTTCCCACAAAACAACTTCTGTCTTACTGTTTGTCTTAATAACAAACTTTCATAAGTCCTTTTTTTTAATATTTAAACATTTTAATGACAAAATTCCTTAATCTAAGTATATTGCCAATATATCGATATTACAAAATCGTATTGCGATTCGATATTTTTTGTCTTTGTATTGCAATATATTGAAATATCGATATTATTGCCCAGCCCTAAGAATAACAGATCAAGTAAACAACGCACATATCATCACTAGATATCTTGTGAACCACCCATATACCATTTCTACAGATCCAGTGAACAATGCACATATCATCACTACAAAATAACAGATCAAGTGAACAACGCACATATCATCACTAGATATCTTGTGAACCACCCATATACCATTACTACAGATCCAGTGAACAATGCACATATCATCACTACAGAATAACAGATCAAGTGAACAATGCACATATCATCACTAGATATCTTGTGAACCACCCATATACCATTACTACAGATCCAGTGAACAATGCACATATCATCACTACAGAATAACAGATCAAGTGAACAACGCACATATCATCACTAGATATCTTGTGAACCACCCATATACCATTACTACAGATCCAGTGAACAATGCACATATCATCACTACAGAATAACAGATCAAGTGAACAACACACATATCATCACTAGATATCTTGTGAACCACCCATATACCATTACTACAGATCCAGTGAACAATGCACATATCATCACTACAGAATAACAGATCAAGTGAACAACGCACATATCATCACTGATCCAGTGAACCACTCCAAAACCATCACTACTGATCCAGTGATCAATGCACATATCATCACTAGATATCCTGTGAACCACCCATATATCATTACTACAGTTCCGGTGAACCATATTCTTCATTTAACATTTTCATCTGAACTCAATAAACTTTCATTCTCAATCTTAAAGCACTTGTGATGTATTGTTTAACAACTTAATATAACAAGAATATGTATATTTAAATTTTTAACATGTACATGTATTTCAGGGACATATATTAGATCAATGGAATTATGAAGAAAATGCACAAAATTGCCTGAACTCAATTGCTTTGTAAAAACAACAGCTCAAGAAACAGAGTATGCAATTCAATTTATTACATAATAATTACAATCAATAAATACAATACATCTATCTACATTTTACTGATTATCACTTGTGTCTAGATCTAAGGTAACTGTTGCTGTCCCATACTCTGTTGTGTCGGTAAAGATCAAACGCTGTCATTGGTGATGCCTTGACCAGAGGCTCCGAAGGGGTGGGGAGTCCAGGGGTAGATAACTCAGGAGATTCTCTCTGGAATTCTGGGGAGAAAAACTCCATCAGGTCTGGCTCACAAGTTTTACTCTGGCAAAAAAATTGAGAAATTGATTACATCATACAGAAGGACAAATGTACAACCTTATTTCTATTGATAAGCAGAGCCAACACAACTGACTGTGTAAATACCTGTACTCGTGATTTGATTGGCTTGGCTCGGAATGTGTGATGGACTTTGTCAATGTCCTCCGCCGGAACACTAAGACTCACTAGACCCCGGAAATGTGGGCTACTCACATTCACTTTAGATGAGGCCTGCAAATGATCACAAAGTTAAGTATCATTAATATAGTGGACATAAATTTCTTCTACAATGTGTTTAAAAATATTTTAAATATCTCCTTAATTAATATGTGACAGTAACATAGTTCATAGCTGACTAGCCGTACAAATTTTATAACATATACTTTATTTTATTTTGAACTTTTTACAGAAACAAATGAAAATATGTTTCTGTGTTATTATAAATTTTGTAAAAAAAAAAGAAAAAAAGAAAGCAATTTGTCTGAAAAAGGATTTCAAAAAAGTGTAATACTTGAAGGACTACTAACTTTTTCTCTGATATCTGATGAGACAGTCTCTGATATCTGTAACTTTTTATCCAATGCCTTCACGACATCAACACTGCTTTCCTTAAGGCTCTCTATCTCCTTCCTCATTCTGAGAGTGCTGTTGTACTCTGGTCGCATAAACACATGTTCATACTCCTGAACAGAGTCGGTGGCTGGGTCACTGAATGGATATGTGTAATCAGAGAGTGCTGGTTTCTCTTGGGTCTCCCTGGTAACTCGGACCTTCCTTTTATTTGTCATATCTTTGATATGTTTTGTTGGAGCATTAGGCTCTAAATCTGCTTTTGCTTTGGACTTTCCTTTCTTTTTTGTTTTGTCACTTTTGAAGACACTAATGACTCTCTCTTCCTTGCTGTTAATGGTTGAGGGTATGATGGGTAGCACAGGTTTAACACTCATGTCTTCGGACACAATTTTATTTGTCTCTGATGTGTTGTTTATATTTTCAGGAGCCACAGGAACATACACAGGTTTATTGTCTGTATTCTGAAGTGCATATTTCATTGGTTTTGCAAAAAGCTCTTTCTTAGGTTCAGATTCCTCCAGACTGTCAGAGTAATCATTTGGTCTGTAAGACTTTTTTGTCTTAGAAATTAAATCTCCTTCCTGGCTTACCACAGAATTGTCTGACACACTGACATCAAATCTAACATACTGTCCATCAGAGACACCCGATTTATTCCTCTCTTGAACTTTCTTGATAGCGATACTTTTTTCAGGGGTAACACACAACTCAGGATCACATCCAATGGGGTAATCAGGCTTTGATTCAGGAACGGGCTTCTTTGGTCTGCTTTTTGTGATAGGTTTCTCTGGTGTTATACAGAGCTGAGGGTCTGGACCAATCAGATCACTAGTAATTCTCCATGTAGGGATGGGTACCTGGCAGAGTGGAAGAGATTCCTCAGAGCTCTGGGAAGTATCCCAGCCAGGGGGAGGGAATTCTGTGTGTGGTTTACTGGCAGCATTGAGAAGTTCATAATGAGAAACAGCTCCATGTCCCTTGCCTGGCCCTGGATTTAATGGGTACCTATGTGCCAATGGTTCTGTGGGCTGGCAAATGAAGTGTGTGGCCATATTTCACTGTATTCTGTCAAAACAAAATTATACACAGATTTAATTATATAAATTAATATAATTTAAAGATGTGCATATTAATTTAAGAATTTGAGCAGGTATTCTTGAAAACAACTACTGAATGAAAAATAAAAGAGTTATAGTTTGGTATTCTATACACATATATGTATCAGGTATTTTAACAAATCATAACAAAAATGTTACTCAAATGGGTTGAGTAAAGTAACGCAACTAATCTCAATCAAACACATTTTCGAACCTCATTGACATGCGAAATTCAATATGAAGAATGACACTTTGGACATGTGATACATGTCTCACCATTCATTAAAAACCTTGCACAAGTATCGTTGAGACCTTTGGGTGGGTGTAATGGGGGGGGGGGGGGGGGGGGGGGGGTATCTTAAATTGATTTTAAAAACAAATGAAATTCCCTTATTATTCTAATGTATTGTACTTTGGTAAGAGTTCACTTATTATCAAATCATAACAGTTACAAAATAAGAACAAATTAAGGTGTAATGTTTTATAAGTAATTACTTAATGAATTAAAAATAAAATCACACAAGTTACATGTTGCAACATGTTTAGCTAGCTAGGCTAGTGTTCTTGGAAAGAAAACAAAACCTTTTAAAAATAAAATGATATAAAATAAATCAAATCTAGGCATTTCACAATCATACTAAAATTCTCTCCTTCACTTCACTCCTACTTTCAAAGAAACTTACAAATAACAGACTGAAGTTTTCATCTGTTTGTTTTCTCCGCCATTATCATAAACTTTTACGCATGCTCACTGCTCATTTCCTTCTAAATAGAAAGTAAACTGTGCGTCTGCGCTAAACTCATTTAACCTCAAAAGACTTCAAGATGTCGACATCGACGGTCACGAAGCTGGGCCTGGGTCCTGTCAAGAGGTCCTTTGTACAGTTGATGCAGGTAACAGAATTCTGTCACTAACAGTTCCTTGTCATTATGCAGGCAAAAGAGTGAAATATGAAAATTAAACCTTGCTTATTCCATTATTCAGTAGAAATTTATTTACGTAATTGGTAAGTCAAGGTTGTGTAACCAAATCTTGAAGGAACAAATACTTTTTTACATTTACGTATTTTACAACAAATAATAGAGAATTTCATTTATTTTAGTTGGAAACACAAATTCTGATTCGAAATATTGCGTTCTTTGATATCTGTTATGAGACTTTGAAATTGTTCATCATGTTCATATATATGAAAGACAAGGAAATTAAAACTTCAAATTGTTAAATTTTAACTTGGCATAATTATTTTAGACAAGATGTACTCAAACTGCAGCTGCGACAGCATCACAGCCAGCAAGAATGAAGAAATTTGCTGTATATAGATGGGTGAGTATGCTTGTTCATCAGATATAATATGTCTGGTTTACTGTAGATTTCTTATTTTTCATGAGTACTTATAATTATTGTGAATGGCTCCTCAACATCTGCGAATGGGCTCCTCAACATCAAATCGTGAAACTAATAATTTGCTAATTGATGGTTGATCAAGAGATTTCACATAGATTTCAGCACCATAAAAATAACGACAAGTTATATTCTATTTAGCGTGTAGTGCCTCTCGCGAAATAATGTGATTAATTAATTCCACGCATATATGTAGGAATCCATAGTAATCATTTATTGCATGTGATCCAGTAAAAGAACCCAGACTCGATTGTAAATTGAAAAGTTAGAATATATTTATTTAGCTCAAATACCTAGGATTTAACTGTCCGGAGTTTCTTTTGAACTGCTCTCAACCTACATAGAATTTCCTAAGCTGAAGATCTATATACTGTTTCGAACAGAATCAAAATTATCTCATAATGTTTTTAAAAGACAATTCTAACCCCAAAAATAAAATGGGAATTTAGATGTAAGTACTCCACGAAGAAGCCACAGTTTACTCCATTATGGAAAACATTTTGAAGAATTATATGTTTAAATTATCTTATTTCCACAGGATCCAGAAAAGCCAGGAGACAAACCAAAAATGCAGACTTATGAAGTGAATCTTAACGAGTAAGAGATTATTTTAATCATTCTCTTAAAACTTACACTGTAACATGTTAAAGTGAAAACTAAATGCACTTATTAACATTTTAAGATGTAAAAAGAGAATGAAGAGTGCATGAAGTAGCAATTAAAGTACATGTAATACCATATATCTCATCTACTGGAAATTTTCATGTTAAATTTTAGTTTTTATGAAGAAAAAAAAATTGAACTTCTTATTCATCAAAAGGGGATTGTCAATATTCAGGGGAAATTTTCTCTTGTGGAAAAATACAGAATACCGGCAGTAAATATGCCCTAGAATAAACACTTAAGTGTAACTATTCAGTAACATTGTAACAACAATTGTGCTTTTTGTTACCATTCAGTGACAATGATTTAGTGAAATAGTAATAAACATAGACATTGTGCATGAATAAAAAGCAAATGGTGTATAAAAATATATTTTATGAAATTAATAATTTTCTATGGAGAGTGGTTAACTTTTGTCTCTTTTTTGGTATGAAGAGACCAATTAATCCATGTCTCTAAGAACGTTAGAATTAAAAATCAATCCCATCAACTTGTACATGTATTGTGAGATGAAGGGATTTTTTTGATGAATGGAATAAATCATGTTCTTTTCTCAGCTCTAGAAACCAAACAAGAACTTCGTCTAGAACATACAGCTGATATTAATTGGAATACTCTTTTCTTTTTCTAGGTGTGGTCCTATGGTCCTTGATGCACTTATCAAAATCAAGAATGAGATGGACCCCACTCTAACGTTTCGACGGTCCTGTCGGGAGGGCATCTGTGGATCTTGTTCTATGAATATTGGTGGAGGCAACACATTGGCATGTTTATGGTATGTATTGAAATTTTGTTTTTAATATCCTGGATAAAGCTTATGAGTTCTAAATTGTATATTGGAATTAAGTGTTTTGACAATATTGTTTTTCAGCAAAATATATGCATCAACTCTATATTATCCTTCAAGTCATTGTTCTGAACAACTTTAAGTGTACTTTCCAGTTAATGTACATCTACATTATTTTTTTTCCAGCAAAATAGATGATAACTTGGGTAAAACTACCAAAGTCTATCCCCTCCCTCACATGTACGTCATCAAGGACCTAGTGCCAGACATGAGTAACTTTTACGCCCAGTACAGATCTATTGAACCTTATCTAAAGAAGAAGGATGGAAGTGACAAGACTATAGGGGACAAGCAATATCTGCAGACAATGGGAGACCGTGCCAAACTGGTAAGTAAGATCACAGAGTTAACATGGGCACCTGATATTGATAAGATGCATGTTTGTAGTAGAAATGGGTTTAGATGGTATGTACATTATTTAGGAAATCATTTGGACTGTCATTCTTTTATGTGTTACAAATTTTAATACTAGTATATTGTCAATATATTACACCCTAATAATTTTCCTAATGATATATACACTGTATTTACATACTATTTAAATCCATTTCTAATTCAAGCATACAAGAACTAGGTTAGCCCCATATCTAATCCATATCAGGTATCAGATTTTACTGACAAGGCTTTAGCATTATATAACACCTCTGGATATTATGATTTAGAAGTGTATATTACACATAATTTCAATGTAAAGTAAATGTGTAAATTTTAACATGGAGAATTAGTCTCAGACTTAAGAGCTAAATTCATGCAGAAACTTTTAGAAACGTAAATATAAACCTGAATGTCTTTGTTAGGATGGGCTTTACGAATGTATTCTGTGTGCCTGCTGTAGCACTTCCTGTCCCAGCTACTGGTGGAACTCGGACAAATACCTCGGACCTGCCGTCCTCATGCAAGCCTACAGGTAAACTGCTGCTAAGGACAGGTTTATAGATGTATATTCCTTTACATAGGAATTGTCCAAAATAAATTTTCAAGAGTAAACATTCTTCTCCTACTGACAAACAAGGACTGTATAGTCTATGTGTAGTATGTACTTGACATTAGAGACGTTTTAGCCTGTATGCATTGTGTATATGATTATATTTCTTTATTTGCTATAGGTGGATGGTGGACTCGCGAGATGATTACACTAAAGAGAGACTTTTCCAGATGGAGGACAAATTCTCTGTTTACAGATGTCATACCATTATGAACTGCACTAAAACCTGTCCAAAGGTAGGTTCTCAAATTTGGGAACGTTTTTGAATCTTACTCTACACAGGATTATTATGCCCTGTGTTATTTTCACCCTTTCACACTCGCATACAACATTGCCCCATTCAAAAGTCGCCCAGTCATCGTTTTGTTTAAGAAATTATACTGTATTCTTTGAATTCGGCCAGTTGTAAATTTGTCCAAAAAAGGGTAGGGCGAAAATTTCCCTGTATACAGTATTTATTTTCCTTAAAATTGAATAAATACAGGTTTGTGTCATAAAATATGAAAATTTGCATTTGTTTATTACAGGGTTTGAATCCAGGACTTGCCATTGGAGAGATCAAGAAAATGTTGGCCAAATATAACAGCAAAGAAGCTAAAGAACTGGCCACAGCTTAATTGTCACCTGTCCCAAGTGTTATTTTAACTGCTTTTGTTGTAACCTTGCATCCAGAACAGTCAAACATTTACCAGACAGTGCTGCATCTCTGACCAACCTGGTATTACATGAATGTATGGGACAAAAACTGATCTGCTTCAATAATATTTTGATTATTTTAAGGATTTGTGTTTGATACTGAGTATTTTAAACATACATCCCTTTTCTAGTGTGTAATTGTTCAACAAATCAAATTAAAGTCTTCATTGTTAGAGTCTTTAATGTAAAACTATTTCTTGGCTATATTTTGAAATTTAAATCATGATAAACAGCATGGAAATAACAGTAGATCCTAGAATGTTGTTAGATTTGTTTTAAAAGATTGAGTATTTAACGGGTACAGCATAGAAATATCTTGCTGGCTTGTCTATTTTATTTATTGTATCTTTAACAATAAATTTCATTGTTAAATTTGAAAACCTTTTATTTCTTTCATTAAAGAATATGAAATTTTGCATGTACAATTTTCTTCCTTATATTTATATCACACACTGATTAAAAAGAACTTTCAAAAAAGCAAATACATGTATGTAAGTTTCATCTTTTTGGTCCAGTTGTTCTTGTGACATTATTGAACAAGAGGCCCATGGGCCACATCGCTCACCTGAGCACTGTGGCTAGGAAAAAGTAGAAATTGGTTTATTATTGAAAAGTTTAAATCCAAAAGTAGTCCCATGACCAACCATGGATTTGCAATTCTTGAGAAGATGATTTTTAAAGAATTTTCCTATACATTTCTATGTAAAACTTTGGTCGACCATTGTGGCCCTTTCCTACCCCCCGGGGTCATGACTTGAAGGAAATGGAATTTACACTACCTAAGGATGCTTCCAATTAAATATGATGAATTATGGCTTTGTCATTCTTGAGAAGAAGATTTTTAAAAAATTTTCCTATATATTTCTTGGTCGGCCATTTTGGCCCCGCCCTACCCCCGGGGTTCACGATTTGAACAAACTTGAATCTACGCTACCTGGGGATGCTTCCATATAAATGTGAGCAATTATGGCTTTGCTGTTCTTGAGAAGAAGACTTTTAAAGAATTTTCCTTTATATTTCTATGTAAAACTTTGGTCAGCCATTGTGGTCCCGCCCTACCCCCGGGGATCATGATTTGAACAAGCTTGAATCTACACTACCTGAGGATGCTTCCATATGGATATGATGAATTATGGCATTGCTATTCTTGAGAAGAAGATTTTTAAAGAATTTTCCTATACACTTCTATGTAAAACTTTGGTTGGCAATTTTGGCCTCGCCCTTGCCCCGGGGGTCATGATTTGAACAATTTAGAATCTACACTATCCCAGGATGCTTCTCATAAGTTTCAGCTTTTCTGGCCCACTGGTTCTTGAGAAGATTTTTCCTATGTATTTCTATGTAAAACTTTGATTCCCCATTGTGGCCCCACCCAACCCCCGGGGGTCATAAATTGAACAATTTAGAATCTACACTACCCCAGAATGCTTCCACATAAGTTTCAGCTTTTCTGGTGCACTGGTTCTTGAGAAGATTAGGTTTCTAAAGATTTTTCCTATATATTTCTATGTAAAACTTTGATTCCCTTTTGTGGCCCCGCCCAACCCCTGGGGATCATGATTTGAACAATTTAGAATCTACACTACCCCAGGATGCTTTCACATAAGTTTCAGCTTTCCTGGCCCACTGGTTCTTGAGAAGAAGATTTTTCCTATATATTTCTACGTAAAACTTTGATTCCCCATTGTGGCCCCACCCAACCACCGGGGATCATGATTTGAACAAGTTAGAATCTACACTACCCCAGGATGCTTCCACATAAGTTTCAGCTTTCCTGGCCCAGTGGTTCTTGAGAAGAAGATTTTTAAAGATTTGTTCTATATATTTCTATGTAAAACTTGGATTCCCAATTGTGGCCCAGCCCTACCCCCGGGGATCATGATTTGAACAATTTAATATTTATACTACCCAAGGATGCTTCCACATAAGTTTCAGCTTTCCTGGCCCAGTGGTTCTTGAGAAGAAGATTTTTAAAGATTTGTTCTTTATTAGCTCACCTGAGCTGAAGGTTCAAGTGAGTTTTTCTGATCAAAATTTGTCCGTCGTCGTTGTTGTCGTTGTCGTAAACTTTTCACACTTTCATCTTCTCCTCAAGAACCACTGGGCCGATTTCAACCAAACTTGCCACAAAGTATCCCTAGGTGAAGGGGATTCAAGTTTGTTCAAATGAAGGGCCACGCCCTTATTCAAAGGGAGATAATTCAGAAATAGTGAAAATTTGATGCTATGTTTTAAAAATCTTCTTCTCAAGAACCACTGTGCCAGGAAAGATGAAACTTATAGGGAAGCATCCTCAGGTAGTGTAGATTCAAGTTTATTCAAATCATGACCCCTGGGGGTAGGGCGGGGCCACACTGGCTGATCAAAATTTTACATAGAAATTTATAGGAAAATTCTTTAAAAATCTTCTCAAGAACCACTATGCCAGCAAAGATGAAACTTGTAGGGAAGCATCCTCAGGTAGTTTAGATTCAAGTTTGTTCAAATCATGACCCCCGGGGGTAGGGCGGGGCCACACTGGCTGATCAAAATTTTACATAGAAATTTATAGGAAAATTCTTTAAAAATCTTCTTCTTAAGAACCACTATGCCAGGAAAGATGAAACTTGTAGGGAAGCATCCTCAGGTAGTGCATGTAGATTCAAGGTTGTTCAAATCATGACCCCCGGGGGTAGGGCGGAGCCACAATAGCCGATCAAAGTTTTTTTTACATAGAAATATATAGGAAAATTCTCTAAAATCTTCTTCTCTGGAATAGCATAGGCATGATTGATCATATTTTTATGGAAGCATCCTCAGGTAGTGTAGATTCAAGTTTGCTTAAATCATCACCCCTGGGGGTATGGCGGGGCCACAATGGCGGATTAAAGTTTCACATAGAAATATATAGGAACATTCTTTAATAATCTTCTTCTCTGGAATAGCAAAGGCGTGAATGATCATATTTTTATGGAAGCATCATCAGATAGTGGACATTCAAGTTTATTCAAATCATCACCCCTGGGGGTAGGGCAGGGCCACAACATAGAATCCAAGTTTTACATAGAAATATGTAGAAAAAATCTTTAAAAATCTTCTTTTCAGGAATAGCAAAGCCATGCTTAATCCTATTCATAGTGTAGATTCTATTTTGTTCAAGTTATGACCCCTGGGGGTAGGGTGGGGTCACAATATAAGATCAAATGTAAAGGGCAATAAAGCCACAGGTAGTCAAAGAAATATGCAAGCATCTTTAGTTAGTGTAGATTCAAGTTTGTTCAAGTCATACCTTCTCCCTTTTAAGGATTGGTTGGGACCACTTTTGGGTTTTAACTTTTCAAAAATAAACTGATTTATGCTTTTTTCCTAGATACATTGCTCAGGTGAGCGATGTGGCTCATGGGCCTCTTGTATTTCTATGTAAAACTTGGATTCCCTATTGTAGCCCTGCCCTATCCCCGGGGGTCATGATTTTAACAATTTAATATCTACACTACCCAAGGATGTTTCCACATAAGTTTCAGCTTTCCTGGCCTAGTGGTTCTTGAAAAGAAGATTTTTTGATGACCCCACCCTATTTTTGTCTTTTCTTGATTATCTCCCCTTGTAAGGGGACTTGGCCCTTTATTTTAATAATTTAAACTCCCTTTCACCTAAGGATGCTTTGTACCAAGTTTGGTTAAAATTGGCCCATTGGTTCTTGAGAAGAAGTCGAAAATGTGAAAGTTTACAGACGGACGGACTGCTAGACAGACAAAATGTGATCAGAAAAGCTCACTTGAGCCTTTGGCTCAGGTGAGCTAAAAAACTTCGAGATATTCGAGGATTCAAGATATCGAAGGTAAAATACTTAAAGAATACTTGGTTGGGACTTCCACGTCACTTTGATATATCCATGGTATTCGAGATATCAGAGTACGAGATACCGAATTTTAACTGTTCATGTATATGATAAAAGACCACAGGTTTATGAAAATAATTTATTACAGAAAGTAAAATAGCATTGCACATCATTATCTGAGGCCCTGTGTACACTTGTGAAAATCTTGCGCATTGACTTTTGGTACTAAAACAAGATATGGAAGACAGTAACCCCAGGAATAAAACTGAAATCTGCTTGGATTTATTTCTAGCAGAAATCAAATCTGAATTAGTTACATGAACCAACCAAATCACAGGCAAATTATATAAAGACATTCACGTACATACTCGTAAGTCTCTATTAGTAACAAAAACATGGCAAACATAAAAAAAATAGCACCAAGCTCGCAATAGAAACGTATATGTCCTGTTTCAAATCTATCCACTGGCAAATACATTTCAGTTTCATTTGGTAAATTATAAAACCGTTGTAAATTATAAATTGAGGTAATCTGTTTGTGAAACCTTTGCAAATACATTTGGTAAAACCTTTGTAAATTATAAATCGAGGTATACTGTTTGTGAAACCTTTGCGAATACATTTGGTAATTTGTGTCCCAAACCTTTACAATTAAAACCTTTGTAAATTATAAATCGAGGTAACCTGTTTGTGAAACCTTTGCGAATACATTTGGTAACTTGTGTTGCAAACCTTTACAATTACTTTTGGTAACTTGTGTTTTGAGATAATAGTTTTAAAAGTTCTATAAAGGTTTATAAATATCACTGTGTTGGCATTCTTGAACTAGAATGGCTTTAGAAAGAGTAACACACTTGCTAATAATACTATGAAATCATTAGGTTTGTTGTATGAAGTAACTCATAAATTCATGTCCTACACAAAATGTAAAATTTCAAATACATGTAAAACAAATTAACACTTTGTCAAGCACTACGAGATAATAAGCAAACATTTTTTCTTCAACATGTTCAAACCATAAAAAATATTGGGATGATAACAAAAATGGCACCAAAATCAAAATAGCTAAACAATAAGTATAATCACTAAACAATCGATAGCACTTGAGGTGTACAAGCGATAAAAAAATAATAGAAACCCGTACTCGACTCAAACTCTTAAATCTAAGCTTAAAAGTGATCTCTAAAAGGTATGCTTTCCCAGACCTTTAAAGGACGAGACAATTGATATATTGCATAACATTAAACTCTGCATTTCAGCTGTTCATTTAGAACAACTTTGACCTTTCAGTTTTTGGCCTAAAAGTCAATACCAACTATTATTCTAGTTGTAAAAAATATCTGAGTTTCAAATTTCTGAACCTGACTTTTCACCTCACTAGAATCTTCTTGAAGCCTTCAGGGAAATTCATATTCAAACTTCGATTAGAAATATTAAA